CCTTTCTATAACATCAAGAAATGGTTAGATATTCTAGTCTTCTCGGATAGGGACGAATAAATGGAGGTCCCGTCTCCTGCAGGGCTGGGGTAGGAGACGTTAATTTCCCACACATGAGATTACTGTGTCATGGATGTCCTCCCCTGGGGCGGGATGGGTGGGATATTGGGCGCACTTAATTTGGAGCCTCGCTCTGTTGTGCGACCCTCACCATACTCTGGTGAAAGTGATTAAATAAATAAATTCTCCAGATCCCTTCTAACCGAGATCAAGTCCATGTATACTGCCAAAAGGACACCCCCTCCACTACGATCTTTTCTATCTTTGCGGTGTATGTAGTAGTTATTCAAACCTAATTCGAAGTCCAGAAATATTCTTTGTGTTCACGTATTAAGTTTAATCAGGTTTCTAGCTAAACTTTGTTCAGCTTTCTCTCCATTGTTGACGTTTCGAGCGGTAGCCCTTCATCAGAGCGAATGACGAAGGCTAACGCTCGAAAAGTCAGCATAGAAAGTTTTTATGGTGGCCCACTTCATATCACCAACTCAGTTGATAAAGGCAAATTATCATGTTTAACAACTGTTTAGTTAAACACGGTTGCAGATAATTTTTTTTCTCAAAGCGGAAGCTGTTAAATTGATGTTTGTCGACTTTAAATTTATCATGCACGTTGAGTACAAAAGTTTGTGATCTCTTGAAACCTATGGAAAATTCAGTTTTTTCGTTCTTTGTTTCTGATTTCATTCAGATAAACTCGGTTTAACGGAACATGTTTTGCCTGTGTGAATGGGGTATAATATAATATATTCAGGGCAAAGTTTGAGAGAAATCGATATTTCGAACGGACTTTAAAGAGACTGCGTCTTTAGCTACTTTGGAGTCAGTGTTTAGTTTTAGGCAACTTCGAAGTAAACTAACGTTTGATATAAGCTGTTTCAAAGTAACATTTTCATACGTTGAAAAGTTTTTCACTAGCTGCCACCGTTACCAACACACCCTCACTTTCTTCGTTGGAAACAGGCTCTTTTGACCGACAGGGCCGTTCTGAAAATCATTTCTGTAACGATCGAGCCATGTGGAAAGATTATCGCCATATTTGGCAGCACGCGTTCTGTGCGCTTTCCCTGCGACACCTTTGTGCGTTTTTCTTGATATGGAAGGCAACGAGAGAGAAAATGGAGGCTTATTAACAGACTTGTTGTCGTGCGTGGTTTATTGTAAGCTTCGAGTCTTCTCGAGGCTTGGGTTTTTCATCAAAAGTAGATGTGCTTGATTGTGCTATTTCTCGCTCGTCACTGACCACTGCTAAGCTGACGCATACCCGAATCGACTGAATCCTCCATATCTCTTTGTTTTGAAACATTTCAAAGCAAATTACAAACACTCGGAATCCTCGTCCATGTTTCGTCATGGAGAAAAGAATAAGCGATGCCAGCGTGATCAACTCAAGGAGTTTTACAGTAAATGGTTTGAACCCGGGGGGTAACATGTGATAGTGTAGTCGAATCGTCCGGGTGGGTGTAGTCCTGAAAAGTCGGTTGTGGTGACTGACGTTTCGACAACTTGAGCGGAAGTCATTATTAGAATCAAGTGAATAGTTGTCTGTCGAACGTTTACAGTTTTATTTACAACTTATTACTGAGTTCTGTATTGAAATTTTAACCTCAAATTTCATATTCTATTTATTTGTTGTATTTTCTCTCTGTTTACAGTTAACCTAGGGAACTTTCGTCTGTGCCAACATTGACTCATATAAATCTGTTACCACAGGTAACTGTGATCAAAATTTTATTCAGTGTTTTACCTGTTCTGGAGTTCCATCGAAATCTAAACAGTTTTTAATTTGTTCTTCATGAAACGCAAATGTAAAGACAAACTCAAGAGTGATTTTGGTACATTTTGAAATACAAAAAAAACTATTTCAAAATCGTTAAAGAAAAGTGAACTGCGTCAAAGTGATCATGGATGTAAGCCATCGATTCCTACATCATTTATGTTTTTAAAATTTTTGTATTTGCTTTTGTCAAACAAGCACGTTTTTGAGGGCCTCTTTTTGCGAGTGTGGCTTCAGTTTTGTCATTTGCAAGGAATTTGATGAATATTCATGTCAAGTGAGAAAAATGTAGTAAGGTCAGACTATAGTTAAAGTTTGAAACATTGACTG